CGCTTCCAGGTTACCTTTGAAGCGCGACAGCAAATCCAAAACACCAGAGCCACGTCAAAGAAGAGAAAACTGAAGCTTGGTAGGTAAAGGAGAAGCATCAAGTCGATAACGTTGAGCACTTCCATCACAGCCTCATTCTCAGGGAACACGATACACATGTCTCGGTCTCGGTAGCGAAATACACCGTGAGTCCACGTCTTGTAAGAATACACGGTGAACGCCAGTAAACTCAGGCCTGGGGAAGATAATACGGTCTGTTTTAGCCCCTTTTCAACTCATTACGGGTTATTTGATATAAACATAATATTATAAGAGTGGGTGGTTAGCGAGTGAGCTGGTGCTATTTACTCCTTCTCGCCTATCAAACATTTGTCGCCCTTTTCCTCTTACTTTTTTCTTTGTATGTTACACTCTAATACCTCCTCTAATCTTAGGCATTTACATGACTTTTTGTATTACAAATGCCGTACAACTTTTTAAAAAAACAAACATATAAGGACAGCTGTATTTATCTCGGCCTCAGTAACGAAACGCTCTAGGCGCCCTCTGTCTCATAGGAATAGACGGTATCGAGTATCTCCGTTTTTCTGCTGAGATGTGTTCATTTATAGATCCATTAATTCTAATAAATAAATAAGTAAATAATAAATAGTCTTTCGCTTTATCATCTTCAGGGGTAGGGGTTAGTCAGTATGTTTATGGAATTTCGAATCTGTTTTTAACTCCCGCGATAAGTCAAGTACTATCAGAAGTTGCGTTATTAAGAATACCTTTGATATCAAAGTTTTAATTTCAATGATTGGTTTTTGTTGCCTGTGAGATGATCAAAGAATAGAGATCAGATGCTGTTCGTTTGAGGGGAGACGCAGGTAGAATTAGAATCAATGAGAAGCAATCCTGATGCGATTGCAAGTGTTTTACGCCCCAATTGACACATTAAATGCCATGTAGGATGCTGCTGCTTCGTTACTGCTTGCTAGGGATACCCCAGGCTGAGTGAGTTACAATATCTAGTAGGCTGACGTTAAGGTAGGCAGGCAAGTAGGCAGGCAGGCAGGCAGGCAGGCAGGCAGGCATACAGGCCGGTAGGTAGGTAGGTACCAAACAAGGCAGGCAAGAAGGTACGTGGGCATGTAGGCAGGCAGGCAGGCAGGCAAGCAGGCAGGCAGAGAAGGAGGGAGGGAGGCAGGCAGGCAGGCATACAGGCGGGTAGGTAGGTAGGCAAGTAGGTATGAAGGCAGCAAGGAAGGCAGGCAAGCAGGTTTATAGGCACGCAAATAGGCACGCAGTTATGTAGGTAGATAGTTAGGTAGGGAGGTAGGTAGGTACATTGGTGTGTGTGTGTGTGTGTGTGTGTGTGTGTGTGTGTGTGTGTGTGTGTGTGTGTCTGTTTGCACGTATTTGTGTGTATGTGTTTGTATGTATTGTATCACACTGACCTATGACCCAGGACTTGGCAGCCCCAGGAGAGTTCATCCACTTGTATGTCCTGAGTCGGGTGAGGTCCAGTAGAATCATCATGGCGCCCACCACGCTCAACCAGAACACCAAGAACGGGAAAAAATGGCTGAGGATTGAACAAAGGCCACATTATGTGATATATTTCAATCCTCACCCTTTTAAGGTCTTTTAACAGGATCGGCGGCTTTCTTTTTGGCTAATTTCTAATTATTATTAGTGGTGTACGCTATTTTTAAATTATTTTTTTTTTTGGGGGGGGGGGGGGATTGCAAACGCTTTGAGACATTCTCCCCGGGTTTTTTTGCGTAAGATAAGATAAATCGTTATCGTCCAAATGGTCAAAGTCGACAGCCATTTCGAAGATGTTGATTCATGGTGGTATGTATCTATGTGCTGCTGCGTGATTTTAAGATTTGAGTGGAAAGTGTCAATTCCGTGGCCTGTATTAATGAACAAACTAGAAGCAAAGAGCTACAGCACAATAGAAAAGAGGAGAGACCTAGACGAAATAACGTTTCGGTTTGTTTGAGTAAAAAGAACCACATCGACACAATAATCAGAGGCGAAGCGTCTATATAATCAAATAATCACTGCTTCCCTTCCTAATTTTGAAACATTGTCGCAGTCAAATTCACCCATA